TTCATTTCAGCCAGTGCCTGCAAACATCCATACCGTCACACCACTGTAACGACCGCTCAACAAAACCAGAAGCGTGCACCTGGACACTCATTCCAAAGTGTCTTACCTTGACCGCTCCATCTCTCTCATCGAAGTGAATGAAGGCGTAGTCTTTCAGTTTCTTCACTCGCTCCAGTTTGCCAAACTGGCCGAAAGCTTTTTCAAGTATTTCTTCCGTGACGCTGTTTGCCAGGTTCCTGACAAACAACACTTTCACCTAGGAGCAGATGAGATGACAACATGAGCTCCCAAGTTGTAAGAGAAGACGGGGCCTAAATATAAGCGCCGTTATATCGGTCTGGCATTTAGGTCAGTTGAAAACCCCAAGACTTTGATCAACAGTGCTCCCATGGCAGAAGGAAGACTCTAACCAACGTCAAGTCGACAGTAAACTGCCAGCATGAAGCCTACTGCTTCAGAACAGTGTTATCTGAAGAGAACGTGGAAAGAGAATCTCAGCAGGAACTGAGAAGGTGATCGTCTTTCAGTACAACCCCTTCACCAAAGAGAACACCTTGTGGTTTAGCACTGGATAATGTTCTGACCTTTGCCATGACCTCCGGGTCAGGATCCTCAATAGGGTCGGCCCACTCGACGGTGACCACATTGCCCCAAACCTTCACCTTCCCGCTCATGAGCCTCCGTCGGGCCTGTGCTGCTGTTTTGTGGTCCTCGTACTCCAGAAAACAGAAGCCCCTGTTCTTTCTCTTATCATCCGGCTGATGGTAAAGGATGATGTCAGTAAGACCCTCTGAGAAAAAAAGAACGTTAAATGTAGATCTTAAAATCTTTAAAAGGTGACATATCATGAAAATCGGACTTTTCCAGGTTTTAAGTGCTATAATCAGGTCCCCGGTGCATCTACCAACCAAGGAAACTTGAAAAAATTAACCCAGTAACTGTTTTGGTAAGCCTTTTTCTGAAAGCGTCTGAGAAAACCAGCGTCTGATTTCGCTCCCTTGGTGACGTGGCAAAGGGATCTCATTATAATATTACCTCCCCTTAATCTGTAAGTTTCCACCCACGGCGCCGTTATTGTGTTTTCACAAGCGACAACGGTGTAGCAGCTCTAATGCCATGGAGAAAGTTTGAGCAAAACATGCTAACTGTTCTGTGTTTGGCTGCAGACGAGCACAGAACACGGTTTAGAGTCCCAGCCTCAGCGGAGATGAGAGAGCAGTGCATTTATTGATTTATTTACTGTATATTGCTGCTGTCACACAGATCTAAAATAAACATGTGATTTATTTCCCAGCTGTTTACCTTCACAGACATAACTGACTGTTTTTTGTAACTCATGTGTGTTTTTAACGTAAACTTGTGTGAATGAGGATGTTTTTAGCAGGTCCGAGCTGTAATGGCGCAGCTCTATTCTGGAAAAGGGGGCGGGGAGCAGCAGCTCATTCGCATTTAGAGAGACAGGCACAAAAAACAGCATGTTTCTGATTCCACTCAAAATAGGCATTTTCAAAATGATATAATAAATGATCTGTGGAGTATTTTGAGCTGAAACTTCACAGACACATTCTGGGGACACCAGAGACTTGTATTACATATTGTAAAAAAGGGCATAGTATGTCTCCTTTAAAGAATCCTTAAGAACAGAGCACGTTGAGAGGACAGAGAGGAATGCACCCTCATTTCAAAGCAAAGCTCACCTGTGACTTTGGAAAACTCTTCAACAATCTGTTCTTTTGTCTTGCTCTTGGGAATGGAGCCCACAAAGAGTCTGTTGTTTGCCACTGATATACACACGCCAATATGTTTGCCCGGGCGAATTTCATGATTGTTACACTGAGAGGAGAAAAACAGGGATTGAATACTCGAACAACTGTTGAATTTGTGAAGCAACACCCATGTCTATCACTACCCAACCACATTTTATCACAAACACCCCAATACGGTCTTCTGGAGTGATTCTGAGATACGATTGTGAATCTAGTTTGATACTTGAAGACAGAAGCAGCAGGTACACACTCATGAATGGACCTGCATGATCTTACTAGCTTGACGGCCTCCTGTGCAGCCTCTTTAGTGCAGAACGTGAGGAAGGCGTAGCCCCTGTTCAGGCCACTCAGAGGATCCATCATCAGACGCAGGTCCCAGATCGGCCCTGCCTTCTCAAACAGAGGCACGAGCTCATCTTCAAACAAGTCCCTCGGGATCTTCCCCACAAAGATCTGCAGTATGGAGAGAATGGAGAAGTCAATGAGCCAGTCTGACAGGTTAGAGCCAAACTAAAAAAAAACAGAGGCTACAATTTAATAATTTCTTCAAAGTATCAGTCTTAAACAGATGCACTGAGGATTTGAAAACAGGAAGGAGATTTAGGCCTTTCATTAATCACTCTATAAAACATGATTGTGACCAAATAACATTATTTGAAAAACATTAACTGAAAAAATTCAGCTAGTTGCTAAAGCAATATTTCTCATTTTCAATTGAAAAACAATCAAAACTATAGAAGTAACAATACTAAAATAACACTGTGACTGGTCAGTGGCGTCTTCCTCACTTTTCTACTCGCATAAAACATTAACTCAAATCAGTATGTTCATTTATTTTATTTGTTAAGCTGCCAAGAATGGGTTAAGTGGGATAATGAAAAGGCATTAGCTTCATGTCTGGGTCCGGCTCATCCGGTTGGGGTTCTTTTGATACTAATGGCGCTTTTCCACTGCATGGTACGGCTCGGTACGGTTCATTGTTTTGTTGTCTGTTGAGGAAGTACGGACGTTCCTCTCGTTGATAGCAGAGGAGCGGATCCAGCAAGAGCTTGATGGGGCGACGCGGAATGAAAACGTTTTTCAGGAGTCGCGGCAGTAGAGGCGGCGCAACTAACGACATGTGAATAATCCCGCCCACTCTAAAGCGATTTGGAAACGCAAACCGAGCCGTACCGAGTCGTACCACGCAGTGGAAAAGCACCATTACTGTACATTAACATGCTATGTTTGGAACTCCACACAGATTTCAATGTACCTGCTAACATCAGAGCAGCATCTGCTGGGTTTTACAGCAGCCAGATGCTCTTAAATGCAGAGAGGCTGTAGAGTCAGATCTTGGCGGTAAACCGTCAGCATAATAAAGTGACTCCAGCACAGTGTACATAACTCATCATTCAGACAGCTGATGTAGCGCATCACAGCATGAGTGCCACCGTCCTGATGTGAATTACCTCTGTCCCGACCGAGGGCTGAGCACCTGTGCAGACAGACTCTGGCGGAGGGCCGCCGTACTTGCGCTGACCTGTAGTGACATCAAGGGTGTAGCCTGTTCTCTCAAGCAAAGTCTGAAAAACACGACCAAACCAATCAACACAGGTGCTCGTTTCACTGAAGTGAAATGTTAAATAAAAATCCTTTTGTGGAATCTAGAACTTTGGTCCCCTGTTTCTCTCTCTGCCTGTAGGTCTTCATCACTCCACAGAGAAAGGCACTTTTGTTCTGGGTGAAAGCAAGAGAGTGAGTTAGTAAAACCTTCCCAAGTTTCACTACACTGACTCAAAGAGCAGAGCGAGAACACTTACTTGCACATGGGATAGGTCACTCTCTTTAAACTGGACAAGAACTTGCAGTGCACCTTCCTCATTGAACTCTTTCAGTGCTTCAAGGGCCCTCTCATCCAGTTCACTGTGCTCCACAAGGCCTGCAGGGAGAAAACCAGGGAAACCTCAGTGTAGCCGAGAGATGTGACGATCTGCAGGATCACACTGCTGTGTGAATGACGCGTGAAGAAGGTGAAGCTCACATGAGCAGGTGCTGGAGAACCGAGACACTTCTGCTGTCCACCAGAGGAGAGACGTCACAGCAGGAGTGCGTCTCACTCGCATGTCTTCTCAGCAAACTGTGAACACAAACACTCCTGTGCAAATCATCCACAGTCTGAGCTGGTGCCCAACACGCTCCAGCAAACAGGGCATGTTCTGAAAGCACGTACGGCATAATGCACATTCAGCTGATCATTACTGCAAAATAAAGCACCTAGATATTACCAGCTAGATATTATCATTATTGATATTATAGACATTATTTGGTAATAGTATATTTATTATTACCTAATAAATAAATACTAATGAAATATTGATTAAATATTGAGACTAAATTATCTTAAAGGGTTAGTTCACACAAAAATAATTAATTAGCTGAAAATGTGCTCACCATCAGATCACCCAAGATGTGGATACAAACAGCTGATAAAAACATCACAATAATCCACAAGTAATCCACAGCACTCCAGTCCATCAGTTAACATCTGGAGAAGACAAAAGCTGAAACACATCCAGCATTAAGATGTTTTTAACTTCAAACCATTGCTTCTGACTAAAATACCAAGTCCATAATCCATAGTAATCTGTGCGTATTTCTCTCAGACCAGATGATTTTCTCATTGGAGGAAGCATTATAATGGATTATTGATTTATGGACTTATTTTAGCTAGAAGATGTGGCAAACGTTATGATGCATTTGTTTATTAAACATGCAGCTTGTGGATTAGTTACATTACTTGTGGATTATTTTTATCAGCTGTTTGGACTCTCATTCTGACAGCACCCATTCACTGCAGAGGATCCATTGGTGAGTGATGCAATTGCATTGTGTGTGTGTGTGTGTGTGTGTGTGTGTGTGTGGATTGTGCAAGGCTAAAATGGCAAAACGGAAGTCTCAAAATCCAATTCAGAAAAAAAAACGATTCAGAAAAGAAATGAATGAATGCACGTGTGTCGCCTGATCCAAATGCACATCTTAATTGCTGCATGCACAAATGATGACACATTAATGCAAAATATAACATTTGCATTTACAAATATGTCTCTATTTGAATAAAATGCTGCACATTCATGTAATTCTAATCGAAAACCAGGGAAACCTCAGTGTAGCCGAGAGATGTGACGATCTGCAGGACGCTTTACCACCCGTCCAGTCAGGCTTGTGTATCGTACATCAGCGTAACTCAGAGAGAGAGTTCACGTGCATCATCATTCGGACAGGGCATCAGCTAGTGGCTTCACCAGTCGCTTGTGATTACGGGATAAGTATTTTGCTGTCTGATCATCCAAATATTCCCAGGTTTTCCACAACTACGGAAACCCCACAAAATCACATGAATAGGCATCAGTGAAGAGCAGCACCTCGTTCATACAGTAATAATGATTATCCCAGGACCTAGGCATGTCACGATAACTTTTTGTTGTGCGATACATTGCCCCTGAAATAATTGCGATAATCGATATTAGTCATTTTAAGACCATTTTATGCCACTGAATATATAATCATAATGTAACAGCATAATAATGCAAGGCGGCCTACACACTTCCAAATGACAACAAACTTTTAATTTTTAAGAATATTTAGATTATGGAAATTAAGTATCAGAATATTAGATACCTTAAAGGGATAGTTCACCTTCAGTTGCTGGTCCCCATTGACTTGCATAGTGTTTTTTCCCATACTATGGAAGTCAATGGGGACCAGCAATTGAAGGTGAACTATCCCTTTAAAACACTTGAATAAATAGTAAAAAAAAAAAAAAACATTCTAACAAAAAGAGCAAAAATAGAAAGTAGGGCTGGGCACAAAAAAAAAATCGATTTTTCGATATATCGTTTTTTAAAATGTGGTCGATTCAATATAGATTCTCAAAGGCCACGAATCGATTTGTTTCAATATTTATTTCCGCAAACATTGAACATCGCCTCCGCTCACTCTAGCCGCCCGTCTCCGCATACTCTAGCCGCCCGTCTCCGCTCACTCTAGCCGCCCGTCTCCGTTCACTCTAGCCGCCCACCTCCGCATACTCAAGGCCGCCGTGTGTGACGCTGTGTGTTTTGTTGTGAAAGCGAAACTACTTTGTTTGGTCTTCCAAAAGATGACACGACTAGAAATCAGTGGTTAAGTTGTATTTACAACACTGTTCCAGAACAGTTCAACCCAAATATTCATTTGTGAGCAGCGCATTTTATGGAGGACTGTTTCCTGATCCTGTTAGACTACAATGTTGGATGTTCTGACTCACAGACTGTAAGTAAGTTTTTCATATTTAAAGGATTTGCCACTGACGATTCAAACGCGAGTTTTTAGCAGTGTAGAGTAGTGCTTGTTGTTTGTCATTTCTCCGATCACAAATGCAGCAGTAGTGAACACACACAGTAGTGCACACAAAGTAGTGCACACACACAGTAGTGCACACACAGTAGTGCACACACACAGTAGTGCACACACACACCCGGGGCCCGGAGAGCAGTTGTGGGTTCGGTGCCTTGCTCAAGGGTCTCACCTCAGTCATGCTTTTGAGGGTGGAAGAGAGCGGAAGAAAGACATCAAACAATAAAAATATAATGCCTTTCTGTCTTTATTTATTTATATATCTGTATACATCTGTATTACCCCTGACATGTAATGTTATACTCTTGTAGCCTATATGTTCTGTTTTTATTAGAAATCAATAAAAAAAGGCTTCAGAGAGATCTCCTCCCAGTGGTGAACTGTTAAAATTTTTAAACGTTTCGAAACCGTTATGACGTAACGAAGCCTCGTTTACTGAAATCACGTGACTTTGGCATGCTCCGAATCAATGATTTGAAACAAAAGATTCATAAAGGTTTCAAAGCTTCAAGCTGTGTCGAGTGTTTTTTGAGGGCCAGAGTTGAGAACACCTGGGCTGCGTCCGAAAGCCTAGGCAGCTGACTTATGAGGCAATGACTTTGCAGGCAGCGTTTTTGCACGAGGGCACCTCATGAAACTGATTTCGGACAGGCTTCTGAGACAGCGTAACGGTTTAATGATCTACAACAAAACAGAACGGGTTTTGGTGATAAAAACGAATATTTAATTGCTATAATACTGATTTCTCACTAGAAATAACTTCAAAAGTGCAAAAAGTTAGTCAGAAATATACATTTAGACACAAACTGACAACCAAACGCAACTTTCAGATGCCATCTTTATTTTTTAGCTCAACCGTCACAGAATGGAACGCACAGGATTGTGGGATATCAAAGGCAGCGAAGGATACATCTATGCTGCCTTCAAAATTTGATCAGATGAAGGTACCTCCGGAGACACGAAGTGAAGCTAACTTTGGATTCGGACGTGCCTTGATGTCTTCCTGCCTTGGAATGTGTTCTCCGAAGGGTTTTCGGATGCAGCCAAGATATACACAGCACACTACTAGTGACAACAATAGCGTAATAATACAGTCGGAACAACTATGGCAGAGGTCTTCATCCCTGCTCCTGCAGACCCACTGTCCAGAAGAGCTTAGCTCCAACCCGAATCAAACACACCTGAACCATGATCATCAAGGTGTTCAGGATGAATTGAAAATTGCAGGCAGGTTAGAAATCAGAAATACAGAAAATCTCATGTATAGAAGATCCATCACCCTGTTTTTATGAGCATTTTGAATGAGAAAACGAGTTATGAAAATGGCAAATCTAAAAAAAAAAAATCCCTAGTTCACAAAAAAGTTTTTATGCTCACTTTTATGCGAATAATGGGAGATGGAAACACATTTACCAAATAAATTCCTCCATGCAGATCAAAAACATCATGGCCCGGTTTCACAGACGGGGATTAGCTTAAGCCAGGAGTCAGGACTAGGCCATAGTTCAATTAGGATTTTAAAGTAATTTTTATAAACATGCCTTAGGAAAAACATTACTGGTGTGCATCTTGAGACAAAACAAGGGTACTGACATATTTCAAGATCAACCAGTGCAAGTTTCCTTCAGTTGAAACAGCTCAGACTTACAGTTTAGTCGGGGACTAGGCTTAAGCCGTGTCTGTGAAACCGGTGGTATGTGTCTTTGTGCAATGGGACGAGAAATCCTGACTAGCCAGTGGACCGATTTCATTGCACATTATCTGAAATGTTGTTCTGGTCAATCTGAAATGTCCGAGCAAAGTCTGTCGTAAAAGTATTTCTGTATGATTGCCAGAACCGTCTTACACGACTGCTTTCCCGAACAGCAGACATCCCTTTTCCAAAGCAATGACCGCATGTATTGTGTTTCGTCTGCTCACTCCAAGGCGCAAGTACATTTATTATATATGAAAATTATTTCATTCAGTGGCTTCTCCTACTTTTCTTAGTGATATTTGATGGCAGTTTATCAGGAAGTGATAAATAGGATAAATAGCTGGTGCTTGAGACATTGGTCATTCGTTGTTTCTGTAAAAAGACTAACAATACTACTACTACTAATAATAATAATAATAAAACACTAAAATGTACTAAAATATAAAATATTTTCATCAAACAAAACTTCATGTAGTCAAAGACAAATGTTGCTAATTCTTTCATTTTAAACTCTCAGTCAGAGTCTTCTAGTGTGTAGGCCGTATCGTTTTGGAGGATTCTTGAAAGGCAGCCTTCATTTCGGTCCTTCACTCTGAACATTTTGAAGGATGCATCAAGTGTACACTGTAAAAAAAATTCTGTAAAATGTACGGTAAAAAAACGGCAGCTGTGGTTGCCGAAATTTTACCATAAAAAATACGTTAGCAACGTTTTAGGTTTTAACTTAAATTTACAGTTAAATACCATAATTTCATTAAGTGATATAATGTTAATATACCAACCTATTGAAGTACTGAAAACTGTTTTGTACCTTTGTAATACACTGATAACCACCAAATGCAGG